AAAGATTTTCTGTTACTGTAAACATCAATCCATCGGTTTATCTGTCCATGTAACAGGACCTTCTGAGGGAGCTCAGCGAGTCTAATGGAAATGGCTCTATCCCCATCGTCAGCTCCAGCCAACCAAATCAGTCCGTGGAGATCGGCTCCACCGCAGAGGACTCCACGGAGCAGTCAGCGAACAGCGACACCAAGAACCATACAGGAACAAAAGAGAAGGCGCCAAATCAGGGCTGCGGCTTGTCGTCAGTGAGAGACGCATCACGTAAGGCGGCATCTGTCTTCATTGTGGAAAATCCACACAACATTGATCGCTATGCCCGCACAGTTTTCCCCACAGCATTCCTCTTTGTCAATATCCTGTACTGGCTTTATTATCTCTTTCTGTAAGTGCTCATTCCAAGCCGTGGAAAGCTTAATTTCACCAACCTGAAGCTGCTCTACCTCCTCATTTAAGATCCAACACCAGTCACCATGGTCTGATTACGAACGGACCTGACACAGCTTATTTATTGGATGGCGAAAAATCAATTGGTCCGGACTACGCTCTGCAACAAAGGCCGTTATTGATTGTGTGCAAAGAGTTGGCTCCCAGCACATCAGCATGTAAGAGTGGTAATGCAAAGCCTGTATTGTCTACTGACCAATCCATAGATCAAATGAGGAAGAGTTTAGAATGAATAGGATGCTGAACAGCACCACACAGTTGGTTGCTATGCATTGTTTGCATGAGACCATATACTGTATGATTATGTTTCGCCGTACAATGTGAAATTAAAAGACTACATCAGTGACTGGAATGTGTCGGTGCATTTATATGAGAAGGAAATTCAGTCTGTGCTTAGTAACAAGTTAATTAAACAGGAATTGTTTGGGAAAATAAGACACACATTTATTATTCCCTCTTGGGTACGAGAACAGTAAAGTGCAACAGGCGACCACAGGTTTGGTAAGGAAGGTGTTAAAATGACATTTGATGATTTCATTAAAAGGAAAAGACAGATTTCTATCACTGATAGCACCACTTTGTTAGTAACTCAATGATCTGTAATGTAAGTATTCAGCTGTATTTAAATGTGTGCCAAAGAGGTTGATCAGGACAAGCATGGATTTACTCCTCTATGGCACGTACCCGAATACTGACTTCAGGTAGAAAAATGCACAAAAAGTTTTAGGCACTTAAAAGGAGTAGCAACATTAGGGATATGAGCCACTGCGGAGTCATTAAAAAAACATCAAGAAATAGAGAGACTGCTGCAGCAGATGGCATTATCTGAAGATTAGAGAGTCACTATGGGATTACTTGATGCAACTCAGAGAGCCTGAACCCCCAGAGGAACATACCTGCCAATTACCTTGGAAAAGTGTGCCTAAAGCTTTTGCACACTTATGATGAGAAATGAAACATTGTACAGTATTTTAAGTACAAACACATATAGAACAGTAGTTGGCGCTCATTATGTACAGGCAAAACAAAAAAGATTATATCACCTAAAAGGCACATCATGGCTTAAACTGTCTTTCATTCTCAAAGCTTCCAATACGTCACATTGCTTTGGTCTTCTTTTTTCCCCTCACGACACCATTTAAACATTTCTGGCTCTTTTCCACACTACATTTTATTCATTTGTAGTGCTTTCCATACTTTTATGTTGCCTTTCTCTGCTGAACTTACCCTTCTTGATTTTTTTTTTTCCTTTTCCAAAATTTTAAACTGCACCTTTCCAGAAAGTGAAAATACTTGGCTACAGACCGTAAGCAGTCATTGGAAATATTCAGTAAGCTGTACCACCACCTAGTGGCTGATTTCTTTCATTACTGTTTATGCAGTTTCTCAGCAGTCCAAAAAGGAAACAAGTCTTGACTTTCATTTATAAATGGCAAATTTTAGGCAAAGTGTCCAAAGTCTCTTCCAGATATGCATTATTTCCCTCGTCCTCCTAGGTTCCTTTCTTTGACTCCCATTCCTAGAGAAAGAAAATCAGATTATTTTTTTTAATGATGTGAAAACGGATTTCAATTAATTTCACAGGAAACACAAAAGTGTACTTATATCATTAAATAGTTGTTCACAGTAATCTAACAGAATGAAAACCTAAGGCTTTTTGGGAAAAAAATGAAATGAAAAACAAGGTCATGGTGCACTAAATTGTATTCACTTGTCTGCCTTCACACACAGATGAATTTGAGTGACTTCTCATTCTGAAGCCATTAATATGACATTGGCCCACCCACTGATGCTATAACAGCTTCAATGTTTCTAGGAAGACTTTCCAAAAGGTTTAGAAATGTGTTTATGGGAATTTTTGCCCATTCTTTCAGAGGCAGACACTGATGTTGGACGAGAAGTCCTCTGAGTCTCCGCCCAATTTATCCCAAAGGTGTTGTGTTGGGTTGAGGTCAGGACTCTGTCTTTATGGTCCTTACTTTGTGCACTGGTGCACAGTTATGTTGTAACAGGAAGCAGTCTACAGTCCAGTGGCAAAATGCTTCACACCACTGCGTCTGACACTTTGCATCGAGCTTGGTGCTGTAAGGCTTGGATGGAGCCGTTTCCATGACACTCTCTCCACACTATTCTTGAGCTAATCTGAAGGCCACATCACATTTGGAGGTCTGTAGCAGGAAGCTGACAAGCTCTGTGCACTACGTGATCTTACGTGGCCTACCACTTCATGGCTGAGTTGCTGTTGTTTCTAATCACTTCCACTTTGTTATAAAACCACTAACAGCGGACTGTGGAATATTTAGTAGTGAGGAAATTTCACGACTGGGCTTTTTTCATAGGTCCTGAGCTCCTGAGAGCGACCCATTCTTTCACAAATGTTTTTAGAAGCATAAATAGGTGCTTGATTTAATACACCTGTGGCCATGAAAGTCAATGGAACAATATGGTGTATTTGTAATGCTTAAATTTTGCAATACACATTTTTTTTTATTGCTGCTACCTCGTAGACTGCCTCACATTTCATTAACACACAGAGCCACTAATATCTACATTGAGTGCACTATCATATGATGACTATCTATTTATGTGAAAACTGTGAAAAACCCATTAGATGATGGTACATGCCGCGGTGACTCTATTAACTCCCTGAGGAGACTGAAAAGAAAACATGACAATACACGACAAGCTGAGCAACTGAACTGCGTGCAGCAGAACGGATGAATTTCATCACTATTACCTTTGCTTTCTGCATGACAGTTCCAGTACAAGAAGCGTAAACAGACGGTGGCCTCCTACGCAGCTCTGCGGCACAATTTACTGGTAAAGAATCACTGTAGATATTCTGGATCTTCTTGCTAGAAGCCTGGACAATATAGAAAAAGTATAGAAGTATATAAAAATCTTTGTATGCAGAGGGCCTATCTTTCTACATTAAGCATAAGCGGTACCTGAACAGGAGGTTTAGCCTCCGCTGATGCCCCCAGGGTTCCTCCTGCCAGGCTCTTATTGAGGTTTTCTTTGACCTGAGTCAGTCGAAGTTCCAGGTCCACCCTCTCTGCCTCTTTAGCTCGACAGGCCTCCTCCAACTGAGCCACACGCTTGTTCAGGAAGGACTTCCTCTTATCTGCCACACAGATTCACAGAAATAGATCAAAACAATAAGATACGCATTTGTACGTTCATATCCTCCTTTGCATTATATTTAAGTCTTAAAATTCCGTTTTTCAAAATAAAGCACTTACTCAAGTTCTAAATTTATTGATTTTACAATAAATCAATCTCAAGAGAAAAAAAAATTGTTTATTTTGTTTTTTGTTTTTTTTTATTTAGCGATGATATTTATTAGACCACCTGTTAAAAAAAAGCAAGAAAACAAAAATATTTGAGAAATTTGCCCAAAACTTGTTTAAGACTAAAAAAAGGAGAAAAAGTTGTATCATTATTTAAGACGCAAATAGCAAACTGAATTCACATTTTTAAAGCCACCGGACTTCTGTATTTGGAAATTAACCAAGTATAACATTCAACCACTAAAACACATTTTTAGTATAAACTTATTTTTAATAATAATGTGCTATCACTTTTTGTTTTTACTTTATTTTGTAAAACAGTATAGTCGAATATTACTGGATAACAACAATAATTATATTTTTGCATTAAAAGTACAATTTCAAGTAAAAGACTTACACATACTGCTCAACTAGCCTGAAACAAGTTATTAACATTAAAAAAATATTTCAACAACTGCAGCATAAACCTCACAATGCAGGATGCTGTTATAATTTTTTTAAGCACTGTATAAAAAAATAGAATCTAATTATGAATACTACTTAGATGTTTTTAAAGAAAACATTTTGCTTCATTAAAATGTGTTGATGACTTTTTTAAGGGTCTTTTTAATCTAAAATGTAATAGGCTTCATACAGTTGTGACTGTGGCACAGTTATGATTGTTTCCTCTGCTTCTGCTGGAAGCACGCCATACAGTACTAGAGGAAATTAGGTAATTAGACATAGCAGACATTTTTTTCATAAGCATGTTGTTTCATGTAATAATTTTAATACCAATGCTGTATGGGAAACTTCTGCTCTTTCATGGCCTTATAATAAAGGAGGTCACAATGCAGGGTCATATAAAGAGCCGTGATGCATTATGATGTAAAGGACGTCTGGCAAATTTGCACAAACACACCAATGAATCCTGCAAAAATAAGACTAAAATCCTCCTGTGTTTTTTTTTTTTTGTGCCTTGTAACTATGTCTTCATACATTAGTTAATCATCGAGAGGGTACATGCATGTTTTAGTTGTGTTTTTCATTTTGGGACTGCTTCAACAATAAAGAGCAACCATTCATGCGGGATCTGCTCCCTGTCTGACTTTATATCTTCTTACCTGCAGCTGTCTTCAGCTCTTCTTTCAGCTCTCTCTTCTGCTGTCGGAGGGTTACTAGTGCATTACGTATGCCATCTCGCTCTTTCTCCAGCTCCTCTTTTTCTCTGAGGTAGCGTTTGGCATCTTCTTCTGCTCGCGTTTTCCCATACCTTCCGTACTGGCTGGTATCTGGATGAGAGCAAAGGTTAAAGGTCAGATGTACAGGGGTTATGGGAATAAGACAAAACCCTCTCACGGCAGCCTGTCTGCATAATTAATGCTATGCTCTCCGTGGGAGCTGCCTGTAAGTGTCACATGGATGTAGAGCGTGGTCGTTTTTTACAACAGGCCAGAGAGAGACAGTGTTCATTTTTCTAGAAATTGTGTGGCTTTAATATTAGAGAACATTAAGTTTTACTGTCTCATAATATTTTTGTGTTCATGTCCCATTTATGTTTCAGAGGATGTTTGATTTTTTTTTTCTTTCTTTAAGCATCAGACATTAAACTTACTATCTTACCATGCTCAACTCACCCCAAAGCAAACCCTAACCTATAATGGCCATAATACAGCGTTGTAAATTCAAGGAAACCCGGTGATATGGTTGCAGGAATTAAAGATAAACACACACACTCCTGCGGGGTAAGAGGTCAGAGGGTGAGGCAGCAGATCTAATGCGAGTGTCCAATAAATCTCAGGTTACATCCTGCAGCTCTCAGCCCTTGGAAAGCGCGGCTTCTTTGATGTGCCAGAAGGTGACAGCGAAGACCACAGCGGAGACGCGGCAAGAAGAGGAACCCTCGCTGATATCACTTTTCTGTAACTCAGACGCTCATCTCCTTCACTTGTGCAGCAGAGAGCAAATGACAAAAGGGAGCAAATGGGAGAGGCCAGAGCAGAGGGAATGGAATACGGGCGGAAAGTGAGAAGATGATTGAGTAAAGAGAAGAAAAGAAGAAATACTGAGCCAGATGACTGCTCAAATTTTATGACTGCCAGTGCTCAAGCCCACAACTCGAAGGAGTGTAAGCTATATGAGCTCAAGAGCACTGGAATCTATGACTTAGTGAAATATTGATGTATTAAGAAGAATTATTTCTCCCCCCCCCACCACAGTATTTTGAGCTGTTTTTATGGGTTTTTTTAATCACACAGATGTAAATCAAGGATCAGTATAAAATAGAAAAAATACTTAATATAACAACAAAGTATATTAATAAACTCAGCCTGTAAGTTAATAAATGTGGAGTCAGCTCCTTTCAAAGTAGTTGGAAAAAGACACCAGCATTGCTCATAAGGCTGCACACTGAACAATAAATGGCAATGTTTCAAAGTTGTAAAGCAATATTTTAAGTTTCATACTGACAGAACAATAAAAAAAAAGAGAATTGCCTTAAAAATGGTTTAAAACAAGTGGTTTACCACAAATGTAACAAGTCAGGAGACAATTTAGTCACACTCCGAAGAGGGGCGTTTAAAGATGTCTTCCTTTTTATTTAGGAAGCATTGAATTAAAAGCTAAGTATGTATATAAAATAGAGGATTTTTTGCTGCTTTTTGGAAAATCCTAGAATTGATTTCACAAGGTTAGACTCAGCACCACTTGATGAACTGCAAGTCACACTGGAAAACAAACTGAGCACACTTACGTGAGCCTATTCGCTTCAGGGAGACTAATGGCTTGGTTCTGTCAGAGTCGCTGCTTGAGAAACTTGAGCGCCGTTTCCCTGTATTCCCAGACTGCTGCCTGCGGTTCTCTCCTGACTGGGTGGAGCAGAGAGAGGGCGGGGGGAGTGACAGATGTGGGAAGAGTGAGGGCAGATCAAGAAAAGTGAAATTTGTTTATCAGGCTATGCAGTGAACGTGTCTCGGGATTTACTGATTTCAGACTGCTGTGGTGTGCATTTGTGGGTTTTTGGTTGTAGGTGGTGAGAGGCATGTGTTTAAAGTGCATGTTAATGGGGTTAAGAAAGGAGTTTACAGGCTGTGAAACTGCTATGACCTCTTGCCTTCCTGTCACCAGTCAGAGCACTTTATCTTTTTTTTTCCTAATGTGGACACCCTGATCTTTCTCTGGTAAGAAAAATTGCATCATTGATAGGCGTGCAGCAGAGCACTGTCTATTTATTTGGGTGACTGATGGGATGTCAGACAGCGAAAACCCAAACAGCTGCATGCCCATACATGTTCTGATCTGGTCACATCAAAGTTAATGTGTGATTTCTGAGCGTGAGTGTCCTGCTTACCTGCAGATCCTCGTTAGGTACCTCGTCGTATGTTCTAGAATCTGTGGAGGTGCTGCTGGAGGAGGTAGCCCACCTAGTTTGAGAGACAACAGACAAAGTAAACTTACATGAAAAATGATGTAAGCAAAAACATCGCTGCTTTGGTTGATGGCCTAGCTTTGAACTTGTCCATGGAGCCTGACCCCCTTCCGCTTCATCTCACTCACAGGAAGGAATGCCGCGCAGCATCACGGATGTTAGCAATGGTTTCCACATCTACATAGTCGTAATGCAGTGATTCTGGGTCTGTCGCAGAGCCCATTTCTGCCAGGAGGAGACCGAGCCACCGTCCAAGCTCCTCTGAGCTGCTTGCCTGACAATTTAAAAGAAAGGCATTGGATAAATAAATAAATAATCAAGTTTAATATTCAATCTACTTAAAGACTGTGGTGATGTACACTGACTCTTGATGAGACCATAATATGCGTAATATATTTTTAATAGAAAAGTTGCTGTGTTTACTGTTAACTTTTAAGTTCCCCGAAAATTGAAAGTTAAAAAAAAAAACAACTCTGAGAATTTTGGAAATGACGACGCAGACACCAGCTTTCCAGACTGGCTCTTATCTGTTACTACATGTCTGCCAGATTCGTTATGCCCCTGTTACCTGACCTTAAAGGAAGAAAATAGACATCAGTCTTGTTAGACAGTCTGCTGCCTTCATGAGCAGGCATGCCAGGCGTACGTGAATGGTCGTGTGATATGCACGTTAGTATGGATTCAGATTATTTCTGAAGCGTTTGTACAGATCGTGATTGTTTTTGCTTTGCAGGTATTAGAGTGGATGTGAGAAACATCTGGCTCATTAGCTGATAATTGCTTCACAGTCTGTTTATCTGAGCTCTTTTTACTAAAACAGCTGCCCAGTGATGAACGAGTCGAGCTGACGAGAGTGATGAGATTGAATCAAAACATTAACCCAACAATAAGCCTACCACCTCTGTTGGGCAGATGGAGACTGTTGAGCTGGTTAAAAATATCTCCCTGCATATGTTCTTATGAAAGATGACTCTTTTCAATTCTCACAGATTCGACCATTCTGGTAATATCGTGCAGCTTTGAAATAATCAAACAAGAAGCACACCTCCAGGGCAGCCACTTCTGTGCTGTCCCGTAAGACACGGAAGGCAAAGGGGTGCTTGGGTCCGAGTCCCGGAACCACCTCGCAGCTGTGGAGAGGAAGCGAAGGGAGAGACATCCGAGGATCTCCTTTGTCGTGGTAGAAGTGCAGGGCACCTCTGCACACGCAGCACCACTGCTCCCGCCACACCTGGTTCACCAGCACTGACAAATGGCCTGCATCGTGAGGATGGAAGGAAGAGTTACGCATTCCGCAAACTTGGACTCCTGAAGCACGACATTGAAGCGGGCTCTGACCTTGCCGAGGATCGCTGTATGTCCGTGGGTCACTTGTCCGAGTGGACTTCTTCTTTGAGAAGCTGATGATGCGTGTGATCTTACGCCCCGCAGCAAAAGGACCCCGTTTCACCTTACCTTAAATAAAAAAATTAAAAAGAGTTCAAAATCAGATGCTTTTGTTTGGATTTATCTGTGTCGTTTGGGAACTGTATTCCCAATCTGTTTTATTTTATCAACATGTTTCAACAGAATCCTTCCAATCTCATATGGCATAAATGCAGCAATATGGAAGAGTCACACAAATTACATCCAAGCAACCTCTAATTGGAACAGCTGCAATGCTTTAAGACTGCGTGCATCTCTGCCTTACCATTCTCTCTGCAGTTCTCTCCAGCTGACACGCCCACACTGTCTGAATCCGATGTGTTCCTCTCCGCAGACAACCTCTGCAGAAGCAAACACGCCAACACAAGGTTAGATTTTATCACGGCCCAAGGTTTCATTCTAAGCTAAGCTGGTCTACACTTGCCTTTGACTAATAAAGAGCTAAATAACTATACTTTAAAGGCATTTCTTCTCATACATATCATCCTTCTTAGACGTCTTGCTGTTTCCTAAATACAAACACATGGCATAATTAAACAAATAGTCTCCTTCCAGCTCTATATGGGCTCCCCTTGTTTTAGTATTTGTTTTTGTGTGAGAGCCTGTTGCAGATTGTGATCTAATAAACTCCTAAAGAGGATGTGCCTCTTCCGACACTGGCTCACCACCACCTCCGTCAACGAAGTCTTAACTCCTAATTACCCTGCTTATCTCCTCTTTGTTCTGCGAGCCAAACACAGGTATCTGTGTCGAGCCAAACAATTGTTTAGGAAAATTGATGCTGACAGCACAATTGCTGCTTGCTGCTGAGCATTCCTCGCCTCAGCTGTAAGGAAGAATTACGGACTTCGGGGATATAACAGAAAAAACCCCCACAAGGATACACTCACATAAACATCCTCTCTCTCACGCTTACCTTATCAAGTTCACATTTTCTGAGAATGACAGGAGATGCCGATTCCTCGGGCGCTGCGCTCTGACTGCTCACCTCTCTGACAACCTGCGGGAAAGTTTGCACTTATCACTCTGGACTGGATGCTAAACCCCCCACTCCTGCTGACGAACCAGTGATGATTGGCAGCTATACCAGAGGAAAACGCATGACTCCTGCATAAAATTGCAGCATGCTAAAATTACCGTAAGCCACGTGTGGGCCTGCTCTTTGCTCTGTACCGCAAGCACCAGCGCGTCTCCATTGGGTAAGGTAAAGCGAAGCTCGTGATGCTTCCTCTTGGTGTCTTTGGGGACGTAGACTACAGTGCATTGGGGCAGCAGCAGGTCCACGTAGGGGGACATGTCTTTGGAACTCTTATAACACTGCACAAAGAACAACATGTGGTACACGTGAGGAAAAAAAAAAGGAAAGATACACAAGTAAAGAACATCCTTTAAGGAAGATGAGAAAGTGCAGCATCTCACTTGTAGCCTGTTGTCCCGTATGACAGTGAGCTGCTTGGCCCACTGCCCAAAGCGTTTTTTACGCAGCAGGAAGGCACAAATGCGACAGTCCCTGGCAGGAGGCATGGAGCTCTCATCGGAGGGCCACTGATGAGTAAGCCGGACGCTCGGGCTCCTCTCTTCCTCGTCTTCCTCGTAGGACTCGTAAGAACTGCTCAAAGCATCAGAATCATTGTCTGTTGAAGCAATGAGAAAGACAGAGAGAGGGAAAATGTAAGCTTTATTTGTTGGAAAAACGCGGTATTTATCTGGCGATCCTGGAAACGCGTGGGTGTTCTCACAGGAGTTTTTGCGACGTAAGTTTGAGCAGGTAGTGGGGTATTGGTTTTCTGTATCTTCATAGCCATCTTCTATAGAGTTAGGAGGGCTGGACCTTACTGGAAAGGGAAGGAAAAAATGCATTTTACCTTTTGTTGCGCTAATTATCTGTGGTACATCCTGCTATATGATTGTGTTCATATCAATTATATCCTGTGCATGGAAAGAACACTAGAACACTAAAGTCACTGAGTTCAACTGAGGTGGGAACATGCTGACCTCTTGTTATTATATACTCAGGCATCTTGCCAGGGCTCAGGGGCACTGCCTCTTCGTAGTACTCCTCCGGAGGAGGGGTTGTGGGCAGCGGGGGTGGCGAGTCAGCTGAGTGTGGGGCGGCACAGCTCTGCTAAGGCAGACACATAAATATAAACAAAGCTCTCAAATTTCCTCCCCCAAAAAAGCCAAAAGAGCTACATAATCAAAGAGACACACAGAATAACACTGTAAAAAAATTCCATAAATTAGACGCATGGGCTCTGGGCGGATCCCCAAGTCTTCACTCGTCCAGCAGTTTACAGAGCAATGAGCATGTCGAGCAAAGGGAAAACCCCGCAATATGGAACACAGTCTCTGGTTTTCATCGCCTCTTTTGGATTTGCAATTTGCAAAGTGCAACTGGGGCAGCGAGTGCTGAAAGGACTGATATTAAACAGCTTACAGCCCACACACGGAATCCTTTCACCTTCAGGACTTTAAGCCAATATTTAGTTAATTTCCAAAATATGAGTTCTCATATTTTCTCATGTTTTTCACTTGCCTTTTTCAAAGTTTCAGTTTGTGCATTCTTGTTTTCTTTCACATCATCAGAAACATCCTTTAGGTCTCCAAGCTCACAATCTTAAAAAAAAGAAAGAGACATTCATTTATTCTCATTATGTTAAGGGCAGGGAATTTGCATACGTGGCTTTCATTTGATCTCACTATGGTGGAGCTCACCAAATGTCTCAAAGAGAGACTCTACAAAGCTCGTGCCATTTCTGTACACTGATGAGTTCATGTAGATATAGTCTGTTCCTGACACTAGAGGGGAGGAAGAAGAAAACACAGGCAGCAGTAAGTTAAAAAAAAAACAGCATTAAAAAAAAAACCTTATATGTGCAATCATTCAGAACTTAGTGTAAAAATGAATTTCCTTCCTCTCTGTTACCTGATGGCTCTATCTGCTGCAGGAGGTTCCGCACTGAGGTCTTCTTCTCCTGGGTAGTGGAGCTGAGGTTCTCCTGGTCCAGCATCTTCAGCAGCACGCCCAGCTCACTCACCAACACCTCCATTGCTGCACAGAGAGGAGGGCAAATGGTCAAAGGGGTGTGTGAGTGTGTGTGCGAGCGTTTGTGTATAATTAGAGAGGGCAAAGGTCAGACTAGCAAGTCTAAACAAATCCCTGGTGTATGTCCAACAGGCTCTTTCTGCTTTGCTTTCCCCTCGTCCTTCTTTCAATTTGTGTCACTCTGCTTCACAGTTTGTCAGTATCCATCAGCCATCTCATCACTGAGTCTCCTTTCTATCTCCCTCTGTCTATCCAGACTAAACAATGCCAAGAGGCTTCAGTCACAGGAAACATGTCTGCTAATTGCTCATTAACCCTGTAAATATGTGAATTTGGAGCGACGACCAAAGATAACAGCAAATGAACTTCCTGAAAAAAGCTCTAAAATTCTGCGGATTCACAAACTCAAATTTGAATCAAGATTTAAGTGACAGAAAAACTAGATTTTGGTCCCCCTGGCCCTCTAAAAGGACAAACAGATACAGGCATTGGTTCAATATGGAGCATCGGACTCTAACAGGAATAACTTAAGGAGCACTTTAGAGAGCTTAGAAATGAGAAAGCTAGAACTTCATTCACAAGGACCCGATCTTTATCCTGCAGTTGCGAAACTGAAATGCCGAACTTAGAAAAACACAAGCTGCCTTAAACAGGCTTTCACAGGGCTCTCTGGGTCCTCTGGACCCAAGATTGTAGGAACAGATATATCGCATACATCACATGTTGATCTGAGAGGTAGGACAGGTCCACTCCCTGTTTCTCAGAGCAAAACCCAAATAAACTAGCTCACTCCCCCCAGCTGCTGCAAGCCCGAGAAAAGATTTGCAACCTGCTGCAAGCCAGTGCCACCAAGTAACGCTTTTTGTTTCTTCCAGCTTCCCGAGGTGTTTCCATTAGCTCGTTTGTAACCACTGTCTGTATTCTAGCACCCAGTTTATTACCTCTGTAATCCTAAAATCCACAGTAAAAAACAAAACAAAACCTAACAAATGGCTGAGTCACTGCTGGCATTCTTGTCTGCCTCCCCCTACTTCCCATTCTCCTCCATCTCTTATTCTCTCCCCTCCCTCCTACCCAATTTTCACAGTCCAGGCCCCTTGGACCTAGTGAACCGTGCGTCTTACTAGGGTCAGCCGCGGGACAGCCGCTGAGCCAGAAAACTCTTTGTACAGAGTGCGCTCATATGGCAGCAAGACCTGTTGCGCTAAGCACACACACAAACACAGGCAGAAACAGACACATACACTCATGCACACAAGCCCAAAACGCACAGGCAGGCTCATGTGTTGTGCATTTAGCGAGGTGTGTCAAATCTTAACTTTTGTCTGCTTATCTAGAAAATGCACTCGAACCACCATCGTGTGCAGGATTTTGTACACAGGCCTAAAAAGCACATTAATAAGTTGAGGCAGAATGTTGGCTGTCTCAACGTATGACCCCAACACAGTGAACTTGCATGTAATCACCTCTGACAAGCAGAAAATAAATAAGCTGGAGAAAATATCTATTGTTTGTCAGTGATGTATGTCCTACATTTCAGGGTGCTCCCACTCCTTAAAGACAGACATACTTTTCTTAGGTGGGTCTTCCTATGGGTTTTAACAATGCCCAGCCAAGGCTACAGTCAAAAGCAACAACAGCTACAGTAGGTGTATGTTTGCCTGTGTCTGTTTAACCACTTTGACTCCTGTACCAGCCTGGTTTCCTTCCATTGTAATAATAGCCCGCTCCCACTCTGAGGAACGGGCATGAGGATTTAATCCATGCTGTGAGCTGGAATGTGTCCTCATTAACATCTGATTCATGCAGGGAAATGAGGAAGTGGAAGGACAGGAAACTCATGAGAGTGGGATGTGTGGGCCTGGTGAACGCTGTCACTCTGCCAGAGGTTCCAGCTGTTTAGATTCTGGCTCTAGCGTAGCACTGGGCTTCCCCTAACCTAAGTGTAAGACAAAACCGTATCCACAGCATGACTCATTCTCTGCAGAGAGAAGTTGAAATTTACACCAGTCAGCACTAAATCAAGTATATTACATATAATATAACAGAGAAATTGAGGCGATGCTTTCAAAGGATTTGGCGTGAAGTAGGTCGCCTCACTCCTTAAAAACGGTTTCACAATTTTACTCCTTAAAAATCAGATTACCCAATTTCACGTTTACAGCGCAAGGGCGAGCGAGAAGGAATTACTTCCTCATTTTTGCCACTTGCGGCACGTGAGACCACCCTCAAGTCGTCCATCGTTCCTTTATAATTAACAACACACCATGCATGAGTGTCGTCACACGTCTAAAGCGGCGAGTCATCTTTTGCATTTATGCTGCAACTGCTCGTGCGTGCGTTTGAGTGCGATACGTAACCGATGTCTTCTAACTAATTAGGCAAAAGCTCCCGTAATGTTACAGTGATAGATGAAAATGTGGTTCAGTATAGTGAAAGCAATGTATGTGTCTCCATAGAAGGTCAAAGGATAACTTTATTCTAAGCTTTGTCTACTTTAAGCTTTTAAAAAAAAAGACATCATAAAGTAGAAGACTTAAGACACCAGAGAAAAAAGATTGTGCAGGTCTGCAAAGTCAGTGAAAGCTTAGAACGCACTTGGTTTCCTCACACTTGCTTAACAATTGCTGTTAAACACCAGACACATTCCTCGCCTTGTTCATAGTGCAAGACTCTGCATTGTGTGTGTGTGTGTGTGTGTGCAAACCTTTGTTAAGTGGAGAGGGTAGTTTGTTTAACACTGCAGACTCAGGCCTTTAAAAGGAGCTTACATTTGTAGACTTTCTGTGCCAACTCTGTACGGTTGAATGATGGGTGAATAATTTCAGTGAGTCTAGCACCTGTGCTAACATGCCCAACAACGTCTAAATTAAAGAATAATCTGACCTCATACGATTGCACCATTTTTCTCAACCCCCGCTCCCTCCAAGTCCCATAGACTTCCCTCATGCTGAGCTGACTTCTTTTCTTGCCATGCAACCAACCCACCCGCCCACACACACACACACACACACACACACACACACACACACACACACA